CCTGTCATGTGGACAGAGTATTAATATGAAACAAATAATTTATGTGCTCCAACTACCTTTCGTTACTTACCAGAACTTCAAGAAAATGTGTAGAAATGTGGATGTGAGCTTTGGCTGTCAGTTTTGTGAAAGCATTTCAATTTTTTTTTCTGTGTAAGTAACCTTATTCCTTTAATCAGTCAGGTGAACAAGTATTAGAGGTGAAAACCTGCTAGAATCTTACTCTTGTATTTGTGTGCACGCTATGTGTATGTGCTCACGTGGTATACTGCTGTAGTGTTCTGTCATATACAACTTCTAAAACAGAAATGGATACCGACACGATGACACATGTGTGATCACAAATGGAAGAACAACTCTTGATTTCCAAACCAGCTCCAAACAGAGGATGTTTTCCGAACCACAGTATGCTGTGTAGTTCCTTTTGGTTCCTGAGGCTAGATTTTAAAATGCAGAAATTCAGTTACTTGTTCAGATGGTGTTTTGAACGTTTGTGTATTGTCTATTGCATCCCTATAATAGATTTATAACAAATTCCATAGTTGTTTTTAGGAAGAAAATCCTTATTCCAGTAACAAGCATGAGCTTGTACAAGCTTCTGCTTAAATAATAAGCAAGCTTGGGGGTAAAAACGTCAGTTATCTGAAAGAAAGATGGTTTGGTTTAATTTTGGGGGTTTATGCTGTCAGTTGCCTTTGAACATACTTAAGCATCTCTAGTTCAAAATGCTTATTACAGTGCTTCTGAAATTATAGTGAATAAACACATTCTTCTTGCTGACCCTATAAGCACACTGGCATTTCCAGTTGGACTCAGAATTCTGGTTTTGTTTCTCTGATAATCTTTCCATCATTAATTAAGTGTGGTGTAGACAAATTCTGCAATCTGATTCTTTTACAAATACTTTTTTCAGTGCAGAGTGTTTTCATTATAAGGAAATATTGTTAATATAATAAAATTTTCTATTGTCTTGACCTGGCTTGATTTAAGGTAGAAACTACTGTCTTAAAGTGCAAGTCTGCAGAATGGCATCTCAATGAAAGACACTTTTGGTTATAACTTAGATATGTCCCAAAGATCAGCTGTTGCTTTCTGATGACAGCAGTTTGTTCGTTTTGGAATTCTGTGGTGGTGTCTTTTCTTGAAAATGTCAAAATGGTATATTTAAGTGTTGTTCTTGGGCTTTTCATGTGTTTTGATATCACATCATCTCATGCTTGTCCTGGCATACTGAAAGCTACAATGGCTTGCGTAAGAATCAGCTTGAAAGAGTAAATGTTTCTTTTTTCTAAATTATTGGTAAGGTTTTTTTTTCCCTTACAGTGGAATTAAGAGAGCAGGTTATGATTAAAAGTTGCAACTGGTGACTTCTAATGAAAGCCTCAGTAATTTTTCATAAAATAATATTAGAATACTATGCTACATGTATTTAAAGGTGAACAAACCTAATGAACTGTATTGGAAACTAGACAGTTGACTTACAGTGATTATGGGTCAGTCTGTTTAAGTAGTATTTCAAACAGATCAAGTTGACTGATGCAGTCCATAGTGGATAATGAAATCGTATACAGTCCACACTTTAGTGCAGGAAGCCTTACTTGCATATGGAAGACTGTATCATGTTGGTACCTTGTTTTGTCTAGGTATCCCAGAATGGTGCTGCTCATTTTCATTAAGTTGTATTCTGACATAGACTTGAACAGAATAGAAAGTGAAGTGTTGAAAAATAACTTGAATCCCAAAATTACTTTGGCACTTCACCTGGTTTGAGCTAAGCAGGAGCAACAGCTACTTAAACTCTGCCACCCTGCAAATGCTTTAGGGAGCTAAGCGTCTTACTTGATGGTGTCACACTAGAACAGTTATTCCTTTCCCATTTCTTAGATCTAACTTAGTTCTAAATTACTCCTTTAAAAAAAAACAAAAAAAACAACAAAACAAAACACATACAACACCACCCCCAACCCTTAAACTTATGCCATTTTTCTTTCTTGTCATATATATACTATGTCATATACTTAGAAAGGTGTGACAACTCCCAGTTAGGTCATGATATGCTAAAGTATGGTGCATGTTTGATGTGATCAACAACAGTGAGAAAGAAAATGGCTGTAAAAAGGAAAATTTCAAGTTTTTTAATTGGTAAGTGCACTCTCTGAGTTGTTACTGTTTTGATTTCTTATGTCAAAAAGTTCAGATACCGTTATCTGAGCATTTTGCCTCTGCCTTAATTTATTGAATTAATCCTTTAATTAATGTCCTGTGGGATATCTTCTTCCAGTAGTGGAGCTTGTGCTGAGAGAGATCCCTTTTACAGAACTAGCAAGTTAATCTTAGCTGTTTAAGTGAGACACTATCCTCTGTGTGCCTTTTGCAAGCAAACGTTGACAGGCTCATAGGAAATGCAGCTGACGTTAGGAAGCTTGGGTGGGGACTGCAAGGAGCTGGCAAATACTACAGGGTTTAGTGCCAGACTTGCTGACACAACAGTACTTTACTTGTAAAAGTTTTCTTTAGGCTGCTAATTCTGTCTTCAGAGTAACTGGAACTAAAGTAGTGTCTCTGATGCCAAGTTAAAATAGCTAAAGCAACAGTTTATGGGAAATTGAGAATGCTGGTTTCTTTCCACAGCTTAGATCCTCAGAAATATTAGTAAAAAGAACAAGCTCGTCTCTTAATGAAAGGATGAATTATGAACAGTGCCATAGAATGAATGCACTGCAAAACAAGTCCCATCTAAGTGCGGAGTAAGTGGCAAAAACAGCTCAAAGAGGGAAAGGCTAGCAGTGTGAAGTATCTGTAAATACCCATCTCTGTCTGGTTTATATCACCGTTTCCATTTATTTGATTTGCCAGTTCATAGTCATATTTCCTAAGGCAAGCTTTTAATAGCTTCCCTTAGCCTTCAAATAAAAATTCTTTACTTCCAGTGTACGTAGACATTGAGAAGTGTTACGTTGTTGAATGTGAACAGTGTTACAGCAGTTTGACCATGTCACCTTAAGTATACTGTGTTTTGTCTTGAATTTACAAGATTTTGGGTCCATGTAAAAAGAGTGGTAAAGCAAAGCTTTGAAGGGGTGTGAAAGTGGAATCCAGCTTCTGTCTCTTTTTGTAGGAGCTCAGGCAGAGTATGAGTTGCTGCTACCCTGCTGTCTCCATTTCTGTATGTGGGAGGGCTTTCAGGTGACATCATGGAGAGGAATCTTGTAGGGGGAGGCATGCCTGACTTATAGAACATAAAAGCTGGTGCGGTCTTGGTGGAAGGATGTGGCCGTATTACATAAGCATATTGGCATTTTTTGGATTTCAGCATCACTCTTAGATTTTAGGAAGAGCTTCCTTCCCTTCCCTGGAGTGCTAGAAGTACTTTACAGGACTCAAGTGTTGGAAGAAAAGAGATTCAGATGGTGAATTTAATCTGTTCAATGTTTGCTTGGTGCAGTATGCTGTGCCAGGTTAGCTTTAATATTATTGCCCCTTTTAAGGTAAGCAGCTGCATTGTGCTCTCCCACAAAAGTAAAATCTCAGTAGGAGACTGAAGCAGCTTTGCCTAGAGCAACTGGATGGCAGTATCTTGCATCTGTGGGAGGCATTGGCTTCTGCTGACCTCAGAATTGTAGATCACCTCTGACATCTCCTTTTCCCTGATTATTTTATCAAGGTAAAGTGAAATATAAGCAATATATAAATAGTAGGAAAGGCTGTTTTTAAATCAAGGATGTTTTTTGCATGAACTGTTGTTGTATAAAGTCAAAACCTGATTGAACAGTTTTTCTCCGAGATCACCTTTGTCGTCTTTCATCACATCTCTCATCAGATTAACTCTGGAACACCGTGATGTCTTTCAGACCAAGATTTGTCTTTTCCTGAAGACTAGCATTTAGAAAGTTTGCTTTCAAAGCTGCGAAATGCAAACTGGTGCTTTCTGAAAGCTATGTAGCAAATTACTCTGTAGCCCATGACTTGACCAAATGAAGCTGTACAGCATACCATGAATTTTTTGCGTAGCTCTTGGTGGTGATCTGTTCTCATGTCTCTCTGGACATTCTGTAGCACATCTCTAGGATTTACTCTTCTGTAGTGCCTGATCACTCCCAAATTGTTGCCTGTGTAGTTTTCCCTGCAAGTATATAAACTTTCATTCTGAACCAGAGCCTGAGTTGAACGGTGTGGATGTACCCAGGAAGGCATGTGTGCCTTAGCTCCATATAAGGGACTTGGAAGACATGTTTGGGGAAGAGAATAGAGGCTTGTTTAATAAAAGATTAATTTCCTTTGAGGTGATAACAGATAAAGATCTAATGTTCTCCAAAGGTTATCTTGGTCACTCAAATTTGTTGAGTGAAGGAGGGTCTGATAGCTGTAATGGTGACTCTTTGCTTCCAGGGAGGAGTTTCTTTGTTGGGTAAAAGTTGTGCAGTATCACTGAAGTGATCTGGACAGTGTCCAAGGTTTAAATTGCCTCGTGGGATGTATTGCTGGCATTCTCTGTGGCCTGTTTAAGCTTTTCTGTTTACAGATGTGTAGAGTCAGCTATTTGCAGTGCAGTGAGACTGCACTTCCTGTGGGCTGAATGGTGTTGCTTAACTGTGGTCAGCTGAATTCCTTGGACAAGAGTTGAATTTTTGTAATGTAAAGTCAATAGACTTTGCCAACAATAGCTGGCAATGAATACATGTGCAAGGCTAGCATGAAGTAATTTCTGATGGTGTATTAAATATTATGGACTCTATTCTTCATCTTTTTCTGCATGGTTCTGACAAAAGTGAGCTGCAAGAATGGCTTTGTAATTATCCATTGCAGCTTTCACACTAACTATTTGTGAGCAGGATGATAAACTGTGAATGCATGCAATTTTTATAAAGCTTATGGATAGACATTTGCTTTGACTTCAGAACACTTTTCCAGAAATTTAGTAGCTGACACCAGTTTTCTTAAACACTGATACAATTTGAGGATCAAACTTCTTTTTTTTTTTTTTTTTTTTTTTTTTTCAGATGGAGCAATTATCAGATGAAGAACTTGACCATGGTGCGGAAGAAGATAGTGATAAGGAAGATCAGGATCTGGACAAGATGTTTGGGGCCTGGCTGGGGGAACTGGACAAACTCACACAGGTTAGGGAGGTTTCAATCATCTCGCAGAATAATTCTTCATAAGTGTTACATGTTTCTTTTCAGTTGGATGCTAACTACTTAGCACTGCCACTTGCAGCACGATAGACTATAGCATGTGACCAGCTCAGTACTCTTTAAAGGTTTGTAAATTGGCTTGTTTTCCCCATCTAGAATTATAAAATTAATTTTTCACAACCTGTTAGTTTGACCTTTCCCAAAGGTTATGATTTCCTTCTGACAACTATGGAATTGGTATTTTGTCCTAATGTATGTAGAGAAGCACTGACTTTGGCTGGAGGCAGGCTATATCTCTGAACATATGATTGGACATTGTCCAGCTATGACAGCATTTATTTATTGCACCTGAACAGGAGTAAGGAACAAGAAATAGTGAATGTTGCCACTGACGACATGGTAAGGTGCTCTGATACACCCTAGAGGACTCACCACTATTCCAGAATACTCTTCCTGCATCAGAGGGGCAGCTGATAGGACATCTTCTTTTGGCACTTCCTTCTTTCTAGTGCTTTTCCTTTCCTTCACAAGCAGATCCTGCATTTCGCATGGTATGCCAGACTCCTGGGGTGATAGGCCATTTCTCTGTGACTGCCTGCTGTGGTTTTTTTTCAGCCACGTGAGCTGACCCTCCTGAATAATGTATTTCATCTTCTTCCTCTTTGTCACGTAGACTTAAGCAAAGGTATGATACCTCAAGTTTCAGTAAGCTAGAGAAGAGGCAGCTTTTCTCATCTTCATCTTACCCAAAGACTGAAGGAAAATTGAGCTCATCATTTGACAGTATTTCAAATTGAGGCTTATCTCTCTTCTGGTTAAATCTCTGCCTGCAAGACCTAAATGCAGACAGCACTCTAAGGGAAATATTTTTTTTCCCCCCCCCCCTGTACTTGTGCACACAGGGCAATAAAGAATCCTACCTTTTGAGATGAATGGAAGGCAGTGTGAAATAAATCTGTGTATCGTAATTGTTGGTTTTGTAACTTCCTATGAAGGATTTTTAATGATCAGTGGGAGCTATTTTGAAAGCATGGCTCTATAAATTACCTCAAGTGAGGATCTTCAGAGGAGCACAATGGGTAATTGGCCTTAGGCCTTTTGTTCTCTGTCCCATTTTTTTCAGGTATGAGCAGCCTAGAAATATAAGCATACTTTACTCGGGACTTACAGCTACACAATTGACATACAGACTTTATGGTGATGTCTCAATTTTGTGTGCTGATCCATGCAAAATTCTTAAAACCTACTAACACATAGTTAAGGGGAGAACCCACATTATTTGTTTCTCACTTTCATATTGCTGTACAACACAGTCTGTAACATAGCCTGACAGTTGCCCTTCTGTCTTTTGCAACTACTGAGAAATGACATTTCTCCCAACTTTGAGTGACCTTATATGGTTTTGTGTAAGCAAGTTAATGCAGTTAGTTGTGTCTCAGTTCGTTTGTTTGGAAAGTGATTGTGCCTTGATGTAGCTGTCCCAATAAAGCCCCAATAAAGGGGGGTGATTTGAGCTAATGAGCTCCAAAGTGCATTCTCCTGTAGTCTCAGCATTTGTTGCTATTTATAAGCTGGACTGTAAGAGCAGTAGGAGGAGAGGTTTTTTGTCCTCTAGTTCCTTGAACTTTAACTTCCTTTTTAGATTTCTGAAATGTTTATTTTGGGGCGATTGAAAGTAAGACCCAGATTCCTTTCCAGATGGAAGTGCTTTTTAAAAGACTTGTAATTATTAAGATGCCTATGAGATAATTTGAATTCACTTTGCCCTCTTTAACTGTTGGTCTAATAAAAGCACTATAAAATGTAGTCACAAAATTTGCAGCCCATGTGAGCAGTATTTGGCACTGGTGCAGAGTGCGTTAACATTTATCCTGCTCCGGCTATCCTGCTATATGGTGCAGGTTAAATGAAGGAAATCTTACCTTGCTTCTCATGATCATTCATAACTAAGTTTTTGGTGCTGTTGCAGTTTTCAGCAGTTCTCCAGACTGCTAGTTTAGCATTATAATGTGTTACGGAGAATGTGCTGTGGTAATAGTGAGAGCGTATCACATGTGTTTCCAAGGATGTGAAGTAAATTAATTATTATTAAATTCAATAAAACACACTTTAGATGCTTTAACCAGAATATATTTGCTTTACAGGAAATCTTCTGTGGCCGTCTGTGGGTTCAGTCTGAAGGAATGAGCCCTAACTTGCCTCTTCAGTTTCACTGCTGCCTCTAGGGTTACAGATAGATTTCCTTTCCTTCCCCCCCTGCTATTCTGTGTGGGACAATATGTAAGTTCCATCAGAGGTACTAAAGGTGAGGTTTTTTCCACCTGATGGAAGACAAGGCTGCATCATTGGTTTTTCATTAAGTGACGATTGCCTTCCTAATAAAGTAATTTTTTTTTTTTTTTTTGAAGTTCAAGCCAAACTCAGGAGAGAAGAGAGTTCAGCAAAAATAAATACTAAGGGGAAAAAGTGCATTTGATTTTTGGCAAAGGCTTGGGTAAAGATGTAGAGAATGGAAATAAAAAGCTTAGGTGAGAAACTTTGTTCTGTTAGAGCTAGAAGATGCTTTGCTTTCGGACAAGCGTATTTTCAGGAAAGCTTTATCAGTACAAGCATTGCTTAAATTCAAACCCTCTGCAGGCCTATTGAGCCTCAGCAAGAGCTAGATTCCCCATACAACACTTGTCACTCCAAGGGCAGCAGCTCTGCACCCTGTAAGGCTCCTCTTGGGTCACCAACTGGATCGTAGTGCCCTACTGCTTGCTACTTACAAAAATGCTGGTATTTATTATAATATTATGCCCATAACTAGCCTTTGTAACAAAATTCGATGTATTGGGTAGAAAGATGTCTTGTCTCTTTTTATTTTTTAACCTGTATTAGTTTTTCTAAAAAAAATTTATGCTATGTAAACTGGCTGAGTTTGCTTTCACAATTTACCATTTTTCACAGGAAAGGATTATTGAGAAAAATATCTGAATTTAGCCAATTTAAAATCCCTTTTAATAAAATAGAATTCTTCATCGAATGATTTTGTGTGCTTATGCCAGGATTATGCTCATAAGCTAATAATACATTTCTTAGAGAGGATGCCACAGTTTGAATATGTCTATATACTTGTGCAGTTTGCTTCAGAGAAGTTGTTACAGGTAAGTCAGCTCTCTGTGTTTCAAAATGAGCTAGTATGTAAGACCACTTAAAAAGCCATTTGGAATATGCTTCTGTCCTTTTGATTCTAAAAAAACCTAGAATATGTTTAACATTTCTCCGTTCAATATCTGAAGCTAAATCTCTGTGGTATGGTGACATATGTTTTCAGTCTAAAGCCTGAAAAAGAGTTTGTTTTGTTTTGTTTCTTTCTTTTTAATATGCCAGGAGTTCTTGAAAAATTTCTCTAAGAGAAATTTTTCATTTTCGTTCATCTTGAAGATTTGTTCATCCAGTTCCTTGTCAAACTTTATTCTGCCCTTTTTCTTGTCTTTTTCAGAGTCTGGATACAGACAAACCTGTGGCACCAGTGAAGAGATCACCTCTCCGTCAGGAAACCAATCTTGCCAACTTCTCATATCGCTTCTCCATGTACAATTTGAATGGTTTGTTGAATTATTTATCCCCCTCAAGTATTAGTTTAGGAAAAAAAACCTGTTCTAACTATAAATGAGAACATTGTAAAATATAAGAGCATTTAAATACACTTCTAGCTGAAGTGAAAACATGTTTGCTGAAGGCATTGTTCTGAAGGCACAGAATTTTGAGTATCCTAAAGCAGTATCCTTTCCAGCACCTAGTATCTGAGAATGGTAGTCTAGCATTTGTACAGAAATACACATTCTGGGATCTGGTCTCATGAAAGAATGAATTGATGTGTATCTGTTAAATGGGAAGAAAGAGCACCTTGCTTCATGGGACAGAGTGCAGGAATATAACCACAGAATGCTTTCATGTTAAACAAAAATGATATTTTTCCTTGTCTTAAAATAGCTTCCCCTGGTTGTAATACAGGAAGCCTTAATTTAAAGGCTTGAGTGTGTGGATAGTATTTTGTGGGATTTTTTAAAGCAGTGTCACATACCTTGCACTGCTTTAGCAGAAATGCTTAGCAAAACACCTACACTTTTTTGAAAAGTTGAGGCATGATATTATACAAATGTATTTTTAGATTTAGTTTAAACCTTTCAAATGTAATCTGAACGTTCACAGACTTCTTCTGTTGTCAAATGTGTTTAACCTAAATAGTTTTTTGTTTAATTGCTCTTAGACCGCTCAAGAGTAATAGTGCAAATAAATTTCTGCTTAGCAGTGAGCAGAGATTTTGCAATACAGATGGGAGAAGAAAATAGACCTTCCTTTGCTCCCTTACCCTAACTGTTAAATTTGATAACACAAAGTGAAGAGTTGCACAGACAAGTGAAGTAACTCTGCATGTACTGAAAACTCTTGTTTGTTGCAGAAGCCCTGAATCAGGGGGAGACTGTGGATCTAGATGCCCTCATGGCTGATCTCTGTTCCATAGAGCAGGAGCTCAGCAGCATTGGGTCTCATTCAGCAAACAATGCTGCAGTGAAACGCCTTGCCACAGAATCCAAAGCTCAGAAACCACCTGCTAGCCGACCTTCTACTAAGCACAGCAGCATGAAAGGATTACCCTCCTCATCTGGTAAGGTGGCTAAACCATCACATGCCAACGTATCTTTGGATGACATCACTGCACAGTTAGAGAAGGCCTCTTTGAGCATGGATGAGGCAGCCCAACAGTCTGTTGCAGAAGACACCAAACCAGTAGTTACTGCTCAGCACAGGAGGACAGCATCTGCTGGCACAGTGAGTGATGCTGAGGTGCGCTCAATCAGTAACTCCTCCCGTTCCAGCATAACCTCTGCAGCTTCCAGCATGGACTCCTTGGATATCGATAAGGTGACGAGACCTCAGGAACTGGACTTGACGTCACAAGGGCAACCAATTACTGAGGTAGAGTTTCATTAATTCAAGATTTTGGTTTGGTTTTGGGTTTTTTTTCTTCAAATCCACCCCCCGCTCTCTTATGCTGACACTCCTAGCTAAACATCTTCAGTGCAGTGAGGTTGATTAAAGATTAAGATTGCTTTTGCATGGACTGCACATGCTGTGGCTACTTCTTTCTCTGTTTTTGTTTCTGTCTGCAAGGAATCTTTTTAAAAAAAGTGTACTATTATTTTTTTTTTTAAGGGCTTTCCACATCTCTTCCACCTCCTAAGCCAGTCACGGATTTTAATGTTTTATAGTTAATGTTTTTATTCTAAGTAAATATATTGCTTTTTATTTAAATCTGAGGAGTGCACAGCTGTGGAAAAAAGAAAGTACAACTGACAAGACTACATTCCTGTTACAGTACACTTAATACCTGAAACACATGAGGCAATTTATGAATGCCTGTTTGGAGCTATGCTATACCAGTAATTTGCTGCTACTTAATATTCTTGTTTAATGTATGACAGGGAGAACTCTTTGAAGCAATGCACAACACGGGAAAACAGCTGGGCTGGGATACAGCAATAGCAGATGTTCATTTGGGATTTTGGTGCTTTGGCATTGCTTAATCAAAGAGGAAACTTTTCCGTAAAAACACAGCCAGTTTGGGGAGCGTTGAAAGTGCTGGTGACTTATGTGAGGAAATGGGGAAAAATGTGCCGGTGAATTTAGAGAACTTAAACTAGAAGCAGTCTTGTAGAACTATTCTCTGAAACAGAAATCTGGCCTGTTCAAAAGTCAGTTGTACTAGTATGCATGTTCTCTTTTATGGGAGAAAACTGAAACAAGTTGAGTTTATTCTAATCAATAATTAACACTAATTTGAATGAGCTGTGCTGAAAGCATGCCTCTCCCCATCTGCAGCAAAAGTTCATCTGATGTAAAGAGTGAATGATGCAGGCTTGTCAGTCTAATGATCAACTCATCAAGGTCACACTTAGATTTAAATCTTTATTTGAAATGGTGAGAAATGCATGAGTGACTGTTTAGGTATACTTTCTTTTTGTATAAAATGTTGGTGTTCAGTATATTTTTATTGGAGATTTATGTTGAGTGAAGCAAAACACAGGTAGATAGAAATGTGTCCTTTTCTCTTTGGAAAGTTAAAATGCAAACCTTTGCATTATTACTGTAGGCCTAAGTGTTGGAGCCACCCTGTGACAATCAGTGATTATATTGTTGTTTGTTTGTCAGTCATTTTCTTTCTGTGGTATGACAAGGCTTATTTTTGGTTTTTGGATCCCTGACTTATTCATGCTGTTACCTTTTTCTTTTTTCTTTTTTTTTCTTTTCTTTTTTTTTTAATGTAGGAAGTTAGGTAATATTGCATTTTCATCTCTCCTCAGGCTAAAAAGATGATTTACTTGAATGAATTGCTTCTGTAACTTGGATAGCACAACAAAAACTTGAATTTTGCATTTCCTAATTATTAAAAATGCAGGATGTTTTCTGCAGTTGATTTTGCAGGTCTCCCTCTAGATCTCAGCCTCTCTTCAGGAGTGATATGCTTGATGCATCAGTAAGATTGCCCTTCTTGTCTCCCAGATTTTTCAATTCTTCACATGGCATGAGTGATCAACAAACCACCTGCTGCACTTAGTTAACTTGATGTTGGTGAATCAAGAGGCAGAGGTCAAGAAGTTGCTTTATCTTCACTGGAAGCTAGTCTATATTGCTGCAAGTGTTGCAGTTGCTTTCTCAGTTGCTTTCTGAGCTCTTAGCCACTGACTGCAAGGCTCAAAATCACCCCCCAAAAGCTTCTCTCACAAAGACATGTGAGAGCTGCCTTTGTGTAAACTTGGTGATTGCTTCTTATAAGAATGTGGCTATTGTTTCTCTGCCCAGATAAGTTGATAAGAATGATTCCTTTGAAGGAGGTAACCAGAAAGTGTTGGTAATTTGAGAGCCAAATTCTGCTCCTCTCTTGAGAGCCAAAACCTCTATACTCATTAACAGTGTTGTTTTGTTTTTACTCTATCTGTTGTTTTTAATTTCAGTAGCCTGAGGAAGGTGTTCAAATCTCAGAAATTTTCCCCAAGTTTACAGAATTGGTGTTCGACTACTCAGGATTAAAACTGTTATGTGATGGAATGGAACTTTTTACTGTGAAGCAACTTTTTTTTTTCTCATCACTGGTGAATGGAAATGGGGGAAAAATCACTTTTGTTTGGAGTTTGTGACAGATTCTGTGGTGGTGGTTTTAAAATGAAATTCACCTTCTAAATGGGCAGAAACCCGAGAATTCTTCGATAAAATCATTTGGTACCAACAAAGGAGTTTATTTCCTTTTTCATTCATTTAGTGCCTGAAAACTACTGTTTTGGGGTTTATTAATCCTCATGGCTAGGTTGTGAACCAAGACACCTTTTCCTAGGAGGGCTGAATTCTACCCTCCCACCCGCACAGTTGACTCAATGGTGCTGTTTCTAATGGAGGACATCTCACTGAGGAAGTAGCCTTTGAAGAAGACCTAGTGCCCACGTAGGAAAAAAACCCCTGTTTTTTATGCAGAAAGTGGGAGAGGCTGTAGCAGCTCTGTTTTGAGATTTGTTATACTCACATAGTGCTTTAAGTTAGCTCTTTTCTTTTTGCCTGTCTTCCTTGAGACCGTGTGTAGTTGAGCTGACCTTTAAAATTTTTCTTTGCTGCTATGGCTCTTATGAAAGAGGTCAGTGACTTGGCAGCTTTGCCCTTTTGACCGATCCTTTCTGTCTTCTCCAGGCAGTATAGGGACTTCAAAAAGTCATCCTTTCTTCAGCAACTTAATGTTACACTCTTCCTCTTGTGATTCTAATAAAACTAAGTAAAATGGAAGACTGTTTTGATAGGAGGAAATGCTGGTCTGAAAAAGGAAATTAAGCTTTGCGGTTATTAACCATGCACTGGCCCACTGAAGGTATGTATAGTCAAGTATACTTTCTGACTGATGATAGTGACAAATATTATGGAAAGAGGCTGTACTTCCACAGCCACCAAAAATGGGAGGTTATGACTTCCCTTTCCTCTCTTCCTTCCTTCCCCAAAGCTCTTATTTACACTGTCTCATCTGATCCCTTGTCACAGCTTTGGTACTTACTGGTACTTAACACACCAGAACTTACTGCTTTTATTCTGGGGCTCATTCTGTGTGATTTGGGTGAATTGCATAGGCTCAGAGGGGTCTGATGTATGCTGATGGGCAGTAGGGGGATTGTAGCCAAGAACTCTGGAGGCTGTAAGGGAAAGCAGGAATACACCCACTGGTGGTAATGGATTATTCAAATCTTTTTGCCTGAGCAATTGGACAGGCACCTTAGTGTCGTTGTCTTCCTCTTCCTCCTAGCAGTCTGTTCTGTAGGAACTTCCTGGGGCTGAAGATACATCAGCATCACGACAGATAACTCTTGGTAGTCCTATTGGACCATCCTTGTTCTCATTCTGAATTTGTCTCTATGCTGCTTTCAGGAGAGTTGACTGGAATTCCTTGGGTTGCCTAAAATCATGGTTTTATTAGTTGTCATGAAAATGTGTTTAATTTTCTCCCTTTCCTAACAATTCTTAACACTGTCTCTTTGGACGCTGTGAACATTAATGCCTTCAAAGACTGTTGCTTTGTAGTCTTAAGATTTTGTCTGGGTGATACTAAGTGTTGTCTGTCTGCACTTATGTTCTTGTCTTCAGTCTTCTCTAAGCATTGCTGAATAAGAAAAGGTATTTCCACCCCAACCCCCCATAACTTTTGCTAAACTGAAATTTGTCTTTCACAAAATAATTTCCCAAATCCTTGCTTGAACAGTGTTCTTCCTTGAATTAGTAGGTTACGTTTTGTCTTCTGTGCTTTTAGTTGTGTAATGAGTGTCACACACTTTAAATCTTGGTTTCTGCATGTGGGATATTTCACTTGAATGTAGACCAAATGAGTGATGTAATAGCATGAGTTAAGAGGTAGGGGAAGTGATGACTATATGACTAACTTGTCCCCTCTACCCACCCATATTATCCTTCTTCATTTGGTCTCTCTGCCACCAAGAAATTGTCTCTATTTTCAGTGAGCTGTGCTAGAGCAATAGGAGAAGAAAGTAGTGGGGAGAGAATACAGAATGGTGATGATTGTGCTCATGTAGCTAGTTATGTCTGATCGGTGAAAGTCTCCATTTAAGGACAGTCATTGTTACTGCTCTGCATATACTCAGTGAAGAGGTTGCAGATAACTTTGAAGTCTGCCATCTGGTCTGGCACAGTACAGTATCACCCCCCTACCCCACCCCCCAAACACGGTGGAGTTCTTTATGTCTGTAACCCAGTTTGCACAGCTGAGAGATTCTGACACATGAAGATAATGCATAATTTAGCAGTTGGTAATGCTACTTGATTTTTTTTTTTTTTTCCACTTAAATTTATTGTAGGTTTAGACTTGATGTATAAGAGGTGAAAATCATGACGGGACTGTCAGTGCATTAAAACTACAGGTTCTTTGCTTAACTTGGCAGACAAGGCAGCAGTATAGAGTAAACATTAACGTTTCTTTTGGGGAAAACAAGGGAGCTTTGGGGGCATGACAGTTAGTAATAGTTGTAATGTAAGCTCACCACACATAGACAAATCTGTATTGGCTAATAACTCCTGTGGGATAAAGTGGAAAACCTGAAACGGGCGTAAGGGAAGACAAAGTTTGTGTTCCATAGCAATTTTGCTTTGTTTTTTTGTATGGATGTGTTGTCACTAAAATAATACTTGTTACACTGTAGTACAACGCAGAAGCTTTTCTAGCCATTGAAGGTTATTGTAGGTCGTGTTTTATGTGTGATTACTAAATGTTACATTGTATGAAAATGCAGTTAACTGTTTCTGTATGCAGAGGAATCATCCGGTAATATATATGGTCTTTGGTAGGCAACAGTGTCTTAAAATAGAGTTGGATTGTTGAACCTCACATATTATTTGTAGGCGATTTAAAGAACAGTTGTGGTCTATTTTGGCTTTTGGAGGAATAGAGCATTATTGGCTCTTGTATTTTGAGAGCTTAATGTTTGAGT